CCCACTTGTGACGGTTTTGTTGCAGGTGTCCATAGGCGGCTGTAGTCGCTTGCCGTCAGAGGGCCAAGAGCAAGTTTCACATCATCATATCAACAGCCTTTACTAGTCCACTGCTGAACATGGGCCTCTCCTTAGACAGGAGGCTTTGGCCTACTATACCACGCTGGCCAGACGGGTTGGTATAGGGTTTGTGTCAAATTTTCCTTCCCTCTGCAGTGTTGTTGTCCTGTCCTGTGGTTTGTTCCCTTAGTCGGCTCTTACGACACCCACGGGATGAATAGGGGTGGTGACACTCTGTATTCTTAATCCGTCACCACACGGACCAGCAAGAGTAAGTTTGTTTTCACTTCTACTCGATCGTCACGGTAACCGCGTTCGGCGCTACGATTGGCCCGCACTGAAATCTCCACCAATCGCAACGATAAATGTGCTCGCCCTCGAGAGCGAGTCAATGTCAAATAAACTTGCACCCAGCCCTCTGGTGACCCTTCTGCTCGTTTGCTTCCTATTTGAACAGGAGGGTTATATCATTTAGTTTGAATACACAAACCTGTATATGCACCCTTCGAAGTTCCTTCGGTAATTAGTTCATTAGTTTTTTTTAAATGTAGGTATTTCCTAGTTCTACTCATTTTTATTCCTTAAATGCATACTGCATTCAGTGATCTAGTTACTTACAAAAAACAGTTCATATAAAAACCCCAAATGGCTAAACCGATTTCCACCTCAACTAACCGTTCAACAAAGAAATCAAAATCATTTTACAGACAAATAAATAAATTCTCATGTTAAACTTACAGCCCATTGTGTCCATTGGTGGTTTTAACAGGCCCCTCTTTCCCACTGGGCACTCTGGACTCGTGCCCAGGGCCCCTCGAGATTAGAGACGGACCTGTGTTTAAAAACAGAAATAACACCGTATAATAATAATTGTTAAATAGTAAAACCCATATAGTTAAGCTAATTGGTACGCAATGAGGAAGTTCACCGATAACTCTGTTGTAAAAGTCACTCAAATATAAGCATTGCTTATCGAAGTTTCGTTCCTGGTAACAGTATTTTCTTATCGACCAATACACGTGTCTAATTGGGCGGATAATGTTTTATACTATTTTATTTAGATTTTATTCAAATATCAAATACTGTCAATAATTAAATGAATACCGTGGGTATGGACACAGAACCTTAAAACTCGAATTTTGAAGGGAGGGAACTAAATAATATTTATTTCTGTCAGTAAATATTTTCAGATATATTTACAACTAGAAGAACTTCACAGCTAGAACTCACTCAAGGGAAGAAACGCCGAAACAAACCACAGATGTGTTTATACGAGTGCAGAATAGGGTCTGGGTTTGCCATTTCAAGAAAGGAACATACGTTTGCCTGACCTGTAAATACAGACTGCATTTGGGCCCCAGCCATCTTTGTTGTTGATAAAAAGATAACTCCCGCATTAGTAACATATATCCTGTGTCGCGGGGGACTTTACAAACATACATGAAACGGACACAAAGAACACCCAGACTCAGAACAACAATTTGTGAATCACACAAAGTGGTGTCAGGTGCGGGGATCGAACCCCCAACATTCATCGCATTAGCAAGGGCCGTGGCGCCCACTTAAACCACTACGCCATCCGTGCAGTCATCGTGTAGCTTATTCCACCTTTAGGTGTAATTTACACTTTGCATTACAAAAAAGTTTCTAGCATTGTGCAGTTTAATTTTTAATTGAAAGAAAAGAATTTTTACTAATTTAGAATACGGGTAGAATGAATATTAACAGAAATGTATATCGGGTATATAGGAGTACCGCCTGTACCCATACACTAACTTGTATGAAAAAGATAAACAAGTTTTCAGACTCGTTGAATAAATGATGATAGACTTCTGATTGAATTTAACCTCATTAAATAATGTATTTTACCATTACGTTGTATTATTTATAGTTTTTTTTTTATTATTTTTAGGTACTGTTTTATACTTAACTTATTGAAATTGAATTGTTTATAATTTAATCGCTAGTTTTATTTTATTGACATTATTAATTCTCTGACGATGATTCTGCTAAATGTATTTTTATTTAGATTTGATTCAATTTTATTCGATTCCTTTTTGAAGTTTACTCCTTAAGAATCGAATTTTATATAAGGAGCACGGTATGAAAAAAATATGACGAGTAAAATTTAATGATCGAATTATTGGATGGCTGTTCAACTATTTTCTTTTACGTGGTTGTAATAATATTTTTTGTGAGTTTGTTATAAGTTCTGTATTTTTATTTAGATTTGATTCAATTTTATTCGATTCCTTTTTGAAGTTCACTCCTTAAGAATCGAATTTTATATAAGGAGCACGGTATGAAAAAAATATGACGAGTAAAATTTAGTGATCGAATTATTGGATGGCTGTTCAACTATTTTCTTTTACGTGGTTGTAATAATATTTTTTGTGAGTTTGTTATAAGTTCTATGATTGGATGTGTTTAGTAATCCACTACAAAATTAAAAAAGTTTTAAAACGGAATAAACCCCAAATAAATGACAATTAACACTTGACATCTAATTATTTTCCTAAAATTAATATAATATACCTCACACATCTCACACACGGTCGTCTGATCCCAAACTAGGCAGAGCCTGTGCTATGGTAACCAGACTGCTGATAAATATACTTATATATTTTTAAATACATACATATTATAGATAAATTACATCCAGACACAGAGCAAATGATCATGTTCATCACGCAATATTTGTCCTTGGTGGGAATCGAACCCACGACCTCTGGCTTAGCAGTCAGGGGCACTATCCACTAGACCAACAGGCTCGTCAATATAATATTTATATTATATTAGAAGATAGCTAGGTTTTTATGACGTTTAAAAGTTCCAATTGAATCAGAGTCCATGAACTGATTAGCGATGAGTGTAACCTAATTGTGACCGCCTAAACTCTAAACTCAGACTCAACTTATTTCTGTTAATCTGTATAATGCATAAAATTAGTGTTACTTAATGGAGGTTTAACAAAACCAATTAACAAATATTAACAAATAAAACTGTTGGGATGCGATTACCAATGATTACGAAATCCTTATGACGTATGTTCTGCATATTTATTACTAATATGGGAATAGTCATAAGCTGACGACATCAACGTATACTAAGAATATTGCTGTAATTCCTGTTGCATTACTTAACAGAAAAAAAACTGCCAGAAATAAGTTTGAATTCTGCCTCATTTTTTGGCCCTCGTACAAAAATGCCGACGACTAAGGGCCGACTAAGGGAGCAAACTACGCAGGACAACAATACTGCAAAGAGAAGGAAAACTTGACACAAACCCTATACCAACCCGTCTGGACAGCGTGGTATAGTAGGCCAAAACCTCCTTTCTAAGGAGAGGCCTATGTAAAGCAGTGGACTGTTAAAGGCTGTTGATGATGATGATGTACAAAATTGATCTCAAGAAAATTTCAAATCATTAAATATCATTATTAAATGACTAGATATACATGTGGTCCCCAGGTCCAAGGCCGTCATCCAATTTATCGCTAACTCTGTGCCTCTCTCTGATTCTGGGGGGGGGGGGGACAATTGTGACTCTTAAGTTGCAGGTGTGAGTGGGCGACGGTAGTCACTTACTATCAGGTAATCCGTCTGCTCGTTTGTCCTCCTATACCATAAAAAAAAAATTGAGAGAGAGTTCAAATGGGTTTTTGTTATTTTTTTATTATGTACATCTCTCACAATATAAGTACTCAGTAACATTTTGTGAAAACACGGTGGCACGGGTGTTGATCAAAAAGTGACCAAGCAATAACTTTACTATGATTCCCGGAGGCCGCCTTCTTAGGGTTACTCGACTATAAGGGAACATGGTGTGGCTTTAGATGGTTTGATTCCTAAGAAGGTCGATCGGCTGTTGTTGTGATGTCAATTAGTCCGCCAGGGATCCGCCAGGGTACCGTGTCATGAACTTGTGTCTTGGATGACCCTCGGTGCTTACGTCATGTGAGGACACAGGATGACTACATCGTATCGTAATGAGTCGTGCCGTCGCCACTTGCGCTCCAACTTTTAGAAGGTCTATTGAAAATAAAAAATAAAATTGCACATACCTAAATAACGCACTACATACGCCTACAAATTTTAGAACAGTTTGGCGAATAGAGACATTGTAAAAAAATGTAAACATAAAAACAAATCCAACAAAAATGTACTCGTATGAAATATTGAAGGATAGATTTTTCAATATTACGACAATCAACAGGAATCATTCTTATTTGTAAAGTTTCTAAAGTTGCAGAACAAGCATATGGCTAGTCAGGTCACTCGTTTTCTAAAAGCTTGCAAATTCACATCTATTTAAAACAATAAATAAATAAAAGTACCTAGGAGATGCCTAGTCGCTAGTATTTTTTCATTTACTACGTCCCTATTGCAGAGCAAGCAAATTAAAACTTTTCTGAGATCTAGAAGTATTGTGATATTCAGACAACAACCCACCATCATTGATTTTTATAATACCTTTGACTATTATATCTTTATAAATATATTTTGGTTCTAAGAATATGATGACAATTAACACACTTGACATATAAAATTATATCACCAGAAGTAGGTGCTAGTTTCACACTAGCGACAACGAAATGAAAACATTTTTTTCCTCATCTTCAAGACAAGTTTACTGTTATCAGTAATTTATTTAAAAAGGTCGATTATCTAATTATCTAATACGCCAGGCTGTCTGTCTGAAGCCAACCCTCCTTAAGAATGTTATCTTAAACAAAGACAAAGGGAAAAAGTAAAAAGGTAAGTAGCAGGATATAAGAGATATCGAAAGACTGAGACTGCAGCAGTTTAAAGAGAACAAGATTAGCATATCCATAAGTACATCCTATGATCGGAGACAAATCCTATAAAAAGCCTTTACTACGGAACTTAAAATACACTCTTGATTCAAAGGAGCCACAAAAGAAACTCTATTTCTGTTGTCAGGGAACTCCCGGTGGATTACCATATAACTGGAGGCTGCTGTGCGAATAATAATTAGCCAATTTTGGATGACGAATGATGAGACTGATCACGTATATTTCAGTCGGTACAGTCCCCATTTCGAGCTTCACGTTACCAAAACGGTAAACGGCCTTGAGAAAACTGTTATATGTACATGTGATAATCATATTAATCATAGACTAGTATAACATCAACGTGACAAAAATTCCATCTCCATCACTTGGATAATAGAGTAGCTATATTTAAAATAAATTAGTTCGTTTGAATCGTCAAAGCACTTCACAACCATCACATCAACAGTGTTTAATAGTCCACTGCTGGACATATGCCTCTCCTCAGAAAGGAGGTTTTGGCCTATTATAAAATGCTGGCCAGACGGGTTAGTATAGGGTTTGTGTCAAGTTTTCCTTCTCTTTGCAGTGCTCTTATCCCACGAAGTTTGCTCTCTTAGTCGGCTCCTACGACAACAACGGGATAAATAGGAGTGGTAACACTTCTTCTCTCACCTCTTTCTTCTTCTTAATCGGTATGTCATTAAATGTAACATCCTCAAGTACAGCATGAAACTCTATTAATGTTTTAAATCGTTTGATATTTTCAAATTACCATTAAATATGAATGATTTGAAAAGAGTGAGGTATGTCATTTCTTCACGTCTATCGTCTTGACGTTTAAAAAAGTTGCTGATTTGACTTGACAGTCCACCTTTCAAGAAAGCTTTTTTTTACCGTGCGGTAATCCTCTCGGATACCACCCACCGGTGGGGTCCTCTTGAGTGGGAACCCCCATGTTCCCTTGTGCTCCCGAAAGGACGCGGGCGCTCCGTAGTGCTTCTCGCCGCGAGCCACTCATATCAACCATATACAACGCATTTTGTTCCTTGAATTGCAAGTGTTAATGAGCGAATACTATCCAGTGACCAGTGTAGGCATTTCTTGTAAAAACTCTATACCAACCCGTTTGACCAGCGTGTTTTAGTACGCCAAAACCTTCATTCTAAGGAGAGGCCTATGTCCAACAGTGGACTAGAATAGGCTGTTGATGATCCCAGAATCAGGGTAGGTGAGAGGAGCTCACACGCAGAAAAGCAACGAAAGAATTACTTTAAACCGGTTGTCTGTGAGGCCGTGGCATTTCCTGGTCGAGTTGGTCCATGTGTATGCCTCTCCTACGAATTGAAATGTATTCTCTTATTGAAACGATTCATTTAATTTTAGCAAGTAAAACCCACTTTTATCTCTTTTATCTTCTATACCAAACAACAACTCCTTAGAAAATACAGAACATAGTTCAATTTAAGTTTGAAAAGCATTTGCACTGTACATTAAAATCATCCTTTAAATTTACGGTTATAATAGATGTATATTAATTATATAAAAATTTAAAAAATCCGTGTTAGTTGATGACGTACTGGTGTTTTTTTGTGAAATATGGGGCAAACGAGAAGACGGTTTATCTGATGGTACGTGATTACCACCGCCCATTGATACCTGCAACTCAATACTCACAAGTGTGTGTCTTTACCAAATACAAATGGCAAGAAAGAAACAGTCCATATTAAAATTTAATACATCAACTAACGGCATCTAGCTATAATAATAGCAAACACCTCAACGTTTCGCATTCCTTTGAGTCAATAGTTTAAACCTCTCAATACTAGGTGGCGCTTTAGCATAGACAGCCTACAATTTGACAGATTTACACAGTTTACTAATGTCTTTATACTCCTAAATGAATAGATGGCGCTATATGCAATACATGTTAACTTTAAACTTTTATAGAAGGTTTCTTTCCTGTCTATTTAGTAATCAGTGACGTATGACAGCTATATAATTAGGTACGAAATTAGTTCTAAACGCAGAGATCTTTAAGACAGTTTATTTGATTAGATTAGATAGATTTATAGAAACGAATTTTCTTACTGCACTTGATTGGACTCCGAGTCCTGCCGACTTTTATCTCATAAGGAGTTCTGGTGACCTTACAAAACCCGAGTAATCACTGGGTCGTTAATATTCCGCAGGTGCGTATTTTGTTAGGTAATAAATATTTTTGCCAAAACTGTACCTTCTAAATTCTGAAAAACAATTGATATAATAACAACTGACAACAGATCTTTTTAAGATATACAATTCCGTAGTATATTATTTTGGTCTATCTCGTGAGGTTTAATGAGCTTTTGCATGTAAGCGCACAAAAACATGTTAATAACGACAAATCTTTGTAATTCTCGTATTTTCTCTACTAAAATATGCATGTATTATACATATAAGCCTTCCTCTTGAAATTCTCTCTATTCGAGTCTTCTCTCTTGAATCCGTTGCTTAGTTCAAAAGATCTAAGCGTACAAACAGCGAGTTTATTTGAGACCCGCGGTGTTACACGCGTTTGTTGTTATAACCGCGGGCAACGCCGCGGCATTATTTTGGCATATATACCGTGTAAACATACATATGCATTTAGTAAAAAGCGGTTATTTTAATATTACAAACAGACACTCCAATTTTATTTATTTGTATAGAAGACTAGCTGACCCGCGCAACTTCGTCTGCGTCTCGCAATAGTATTAAATTTTCTCCGTTTTTGAAACATTCTTCATTGGTGCTCCGCTCCTATTGGTCTTAGCGTGATGATATATAGCCTATAGCCTTCCTCGATAAATGGGCTAACTAACACTGAAAGAATTTTTCAAATCGGACCAGTAGTTCCTGAGATTAGCGCGTTCAAACAAACAAACAAACAAACAAACTCTTCAGGTTTATAATATTAGTATAGATATGCAAAGATACATGGGTACCTACCTATTATAAAGAAGTTACACCAAGACACAAAATAAACGACCATCACACCATTCTTTTATGAGAGTCGTATATGTGAAATATACGATACAAAATTATCTTTATGTTTTCAGTTACGGATCCTGACCTATACTTTCTTTAGAGCATCACCTCCACCTCTCTGCCGTCCTTCGTTTCCTTTCTCCAACTTTGTTGTTTAACAACGCTTAAAAAGAAACAGTTTCTTCAGTATAGAGCTAAATTATTAGATAATACAAGTACAGTCATATCGGTATGTAATGTGGTACACTACGGGAGGTTGTGCGTCATACTTCAGCGATAAAACACATTTTCGTCATGTATTCGATCATAGAACGCAATTGATGAAACAGTGTAGTAGGTACTCGACTGAAATTGGGTGATACTTTGAATTATATTTGACGAGAACTAATTCGATTAGGTAGGGTAATTATAGAAAGAAAGTGTAAGAACAGAGTAGCAACTGAAGTTTGTGATGTATAGTTCAACAGTGGTTTCGTCGCAGTCGATTAAGTAAATTTTTAAAACTCTCAAGTATATTTCATCATGTAATATAAGTAGGAGCGAGATGCTTCGGTAAAAATGGGCAGGTCTGATCATAGTGGTGCCACAACCTCATAGAAAACCCGTGTTGAAAAATTCTTTCGTTGTATTTTAAGGAGTGACTAAGGTTAGCAGAGGCCCAACCCGACTAAGGTCTATGGGAACGGTTCCACAATCCAAAGGTATACACAAAATCACTTTCCTTCTGTTGCCTACTATACTTAACTACCAATACGCTGAAACGTAAAAGGATTTATTTATTTTATTTATTCATATCGTATCGAGTAACAAAACTCATAGTGTTAGTAACAATTTGACTTATAACTATGTTAGTAAATGAAAAATAAAAACACAGCGAAATACAATGACATGAACCGGTACCTAACATGGCACATACATGGGCATTATGCTGCAGGTCCAGCAGAAAGTCTGCAACACCGGTTCACGATCGCGCAATCCATTCGGCTAGCGATCATTTTTAGAATGCTGTTGGTGCTGCCCCGCACCCTGCGTACCAGGGACGCGCATCTCTTACGCATTACTGTATAAAAGCAATCAACGCGGGCTTCTGCAAACATCCCTGAAGCACTACAGAAACGTGGCAACCCCACCAGCACCCTAAACGCGTTGTTATATTGAACTCGAAGGGCGCTGTATGCTTTTAGTGTAAAACGATCCCACAGGCTACACGCGTAGAATGAGGTACAAAATGCACGGAATAATGCGATCTTGACCACACCCGAACAACGTGCAAACCTGCGAGCTATCATGTTAGCACGTACAGACAGCGCCCTTCGCTCCCGTTCGATGTCATTATCATCCTTGAGGTCGGCAGTCAGATTGTGCCCTAGATATTTAAATTGGTTTACTCTCTGTAGAGGAACTTCGTTCAGTTTAATGGTAGGCATCTCAATAGGTACACCACTGCTGCCGGCCTCGAAGACCATAATCTTACTCTTTTTTGCATTGTACACAAGTCCATGCTGTAATGCATACCTTTCACAAATGCTCAACAGCTTGTTGAGGCCACAGGGCGACGCACTCAGCAGCACCATGTCATCCGCATAGCTAATATTATTTAAGCACACTCCATCTATGTGGCAGCCTATCCTGGTGCCGCTAAGCTCCTCAATCAGCTCATTCATGTACAGGTTGAAGAGCGTGGGCGATGTCAACCCTCCTTGTCTCACCCCGCACTCCAACCCATACGCATCAGATCTGACCCCTGCCCACCTGACACTATTGACCTGGCTTCCATACCAGAACTTGATGATATTGAGTAGTTCTCTTGGTAATTTAGCATTATCCAGCTTTTTCCATAGAATGTCGTATGAAACCAGGTCAAAAGCTCTCGAGAGGTCGAGAAATCCAGCGTATACGGGCGTTTTCCGATCCGTATAATACTTGACAGTCTGCTTAAGAGACAAAATAGCGCTCTCCGTAGACAATCCGGGCCTAAACCCGAATTGGTTGTCATGTGGTTGTATATATTCATTTAGCTGTGTGTTAAGCAGACCGTCAAACACCTTCGATATAATTGTCGCCAACGATATAGGCCTATAGTTATTTTTGTCGCATAAATCGCCAGTTTTATTTTTAACTACAGGTACAACCAGCGTTCCCAACATCCCGACAGGTAGGTATGCATGACTCATGCACAACGCAAACAACAAGGACAGTGTCCTGGGTAGATGGGAACCCGCGTACCGCAGGTGCTCAATACTGAGGCCATCATGGCCGGGTGACTTCCCCCTAGACATCGATGATATTATTTTTTCAATATCCTTAGCACTGAACTTTATTTCCAGTTCCATTCCAGCCTCAGCATGGAGCCCACACGATGACGGTCCCAACGGCGATTTTACACTAAAGTGATTCATAAAGATATTCGCAATATCTTTTGAATCACTTACTCCTTCGATGCACACAGGGAGCCCCGGCCTTCCATTCAAATTATTTGTGGCTTTCCAAAATGATTTAAAATCTTTTTTTGAGTAATGCGAAGCCAGGATGTCCATTTTAATCTGGTTTTCATTTTTTTGACACCATTTCAATCGGGATTTAAATATTCTTCTGGAATCACACATTCCCTCATATATTTTACCGGCAGTTGGCTTACCATACGACACCCACGTTAAAAATTTGTGTTTGGCCTCCCTGTATGCCTCGCTTACATGTTTATTCCAACCGATTACAGTACGCTTTTGTCTACACTTTTTGTTTTCTCGGCCGATAGCCGCTGATTCGCTCAAAGCTACAACAATGTCATGATACATTTTATCAATAATAGGCCTGTGCTCTAATATGCTACAACCTTTACCAGCACACTGTAGCAGCTCCCGCGGCAAATCGACTAGCTTTAACTTGTCGTGACAAACCCTCCCGTATTCATTGATCTGTTCGGGGCTTCTTTCACCCCACACTACTTTATTTTGTGAATAAACACAATCACTTGTTTTTTGTAGGATAATGTCCAAATTACACTCAACAAATACAGGAAAGTGGTCCGACCATAAAACATCATAATGCACATACACCCCCACTACTGAGCACAGTGCTGCTCTGGTCACAACACAATGATCTAGCCAGCGTTTAGAGCCGTGCGCCTCGCTTATAAATGTGTATGTATTTGACACAACACCTAACCAGTCCGTATCAATACACGTCCATTGTTGCTCGTCACAAAAATGGCTGAGTTCATTATAAAATCCTTCCGTAGGATGCGCATTAAAGTCCCCCAGTATGTATACGCTTTCGATCCTACTGCTCTCTATAATGGCACTCACCGTACTTATAGTGTCCGTGAACTCGGGCAAGTTTTTAGGCATGTCCGTCGGCATGTAAACACTTATCACTAAGATTGACTTTTTGTCCAGCACTATTTGAATTCCACATATACGCGAATTATCACACTTTATGACCGACACGTTTCGAAAAACACTACGCCGCCACAAAATGGCAACCCCTCCGTATGGCCTTCCCTGCAGCATACCTGAGGCAGTATCAACAGCCGACACGCCCGTACACTCGAAGTCACTGTCCACTTCATTCAGGTATGACAACTCCTCCGGCAGTAGCCACGTCTCCTGAAGAGCTATTAAGTCAGCATTCCGACATAAACGTCGAATATCAGCAAGAGAACGCTTGATATTCTTACAGTTAAATGATACAAACTTATAAGATTTATTACTAAGCATTTGTATTTTATTTAACGCCTATAACAGAATTATGCGGTCTGTTAACATTCTTTGGCTTAAAATGCACAAATCGTCTGAAAATTATTCCCTGCGGCCATAATTCATTATTTAGAAACATTCCAACTTTTCTTTCCGACACAAAAAAAAACTTATATGCATTATATTCACTCTCTCTTCTATTTGAGATCTTTTCTAATTGTACATTTTCACTCGTTTTGTTAAAGATATAACTACTTATATCGTTTTCCAATGTCTCCTTGTGCACATTAGTAATAAACATCGGAATTTTCCGGTCGGCTGACTTAAAATTTCCCTGTTCCGTTGACGTACCAATTTTACCTACTAACCGGTTTTTAGGTTTTGACTTGTATTGTACAAGTTTCCATTCGTTGCCTGTTATATTTTCATTTTGCTCCTGTAAAGTCAATGTCGCAATGGCCGCCGCTTGTTTATGTTTATTGACCGATACGCACAGCTGTTCACTTGTTTCCTTATCAGTAGATCGCAATGATGTCAGATTTAACGGTGCATCGGACGAGCCCACAGATCTAGACGACATATTTTTACTTTTATCTGATTCTGCAACTACCCCCGCAAAAGAAATATTAAAATGATTCAGCTGTTCTTCGGTTTGAAAGGATTCCCCAAAGCCCGTGCGACTGGATTTATGATCTTCGATATTTTGCATGAGGTGACTATCCGATAAATCGATAGGATCACTATCAATAGTCCGCCCACTCTTTATATTGAGCCTACTACTGGAGAAAACTGAAGGGGAGAATTTTGTATCCTGGAACTCTTTCCTGAAATTCTCTAAATGCTCCAGAGTAGCGTAAGTATCCTTCATATTCTTGATATCTGCCTGAACAAGCATCAAATCCTTTAGCAATTTCGACACGTCAAGGTGATCGAAGGTAATAGGTGGTAACATTTCCAGGTTACGAGCCACAAAAACAGGCATCACATCTTGGTCTGTGACTTTAAAGAGATGGATGATGTCATTTAAAATGCGATTTTCTTTTCCCTGTCCTTTACGAACTGTTTTTCGATTATCGGAGGGTAGCGATTCAAACAGTAACGAGTACGATTTTTGTATCTGCTCACTCGTAAACGTTGCAACACATATTCTCACTAAACTATCCTCATCTATAATAGATATTTTATTTTGCACATATGCTAACATTTCGTCAATCACCATATTACAGTTAACACATTTCAATATAGACGTCATTTTTGCGACACAATCACCGCTGTCCTTTTAAACACGTTACACTCGGGTGCGCGCGCGACGACGACGATTTATTACGTGAGTAGGATCTGTGATGAAACTGCTTAAATATGTAGAAAAATCTTTTGTGGCCAACTAGTATCAATCAAAAATATACAAGTTTCGAACCCAAATTATGTCAACGTAACTCATGTAATGTCCCCGTAACCAAAATGATTTAATGAGATAACAACACCAATTGAAAGCACCCAAACGTAGGCGATGTTGCGACGCCATATTGTCGTCACGCCGAATGCTACGTTTCACGGATAATTTGGCGGGAAACACGGAAACTGTTGATGGACGATGGCCTCGTATCTTCCGCACTTCATACAAAAACGGCCTACTATCCCATCCTAGGAATCATGGGTAATTGTCAATGGTTTGGTAGTTACAAGTTCGTCGACTAAATTTAAATCTGTCAATGCGTCACGGAGTTTGCCTCTGATTAGAAGCGTCATTTCAACGGGTGGTTTAGAATAAAAAACATTTATTTCAAGCTTTGCATTATACGTTTACTTACTTGCACTTTTTAAAAGTTGTTTTAAAACACACGACGAAAGGCACTACGACGCAATGCGTTTTGCTGCTTCGATTTCACAAGGAACAAACTGATGGTTGCAAAAGTTTCCGATCACCAAGAGTGTCTAATCTATAATAATAAGAAATAAAAATTCAAAATTCATTTATTTTCTCACCACATTCGCAGAATAAATTAGACTTTTCCTTGTACTTCAGACCTTTACTTTAGTTTAGGCACCAGTCTCCCACAATCATGTCACGACATGACTGACACACAGACTGGTGACTAAACTAGGCGTTAGCCTGTATTTCAATTCACCAGGTCTCCATTCCAGGTTAAGTTTCTATTTCTTTTTATTTTACAACATAAAGCAGATTGTGTTGAGATCTATTTTACAGATTGATGTCTGGGTTAGTTATTTTGTGTGTACGTGCGAGTGCAACACACGGCAAACACACACACACGGCATGTGTTTGTGTGCGTGTGTTTAAGTGTGTGTATGTGGGTCCTTGCAGATGGTTGTTGTTCTAGGATTTTAATTAGTTTTCGGTGTTTCCATAATTTAATGTCAACAACCATTCGGTCAACCGGTTTTTGCATGCTACTTTCGTTAAAGGAAATATGTTTGTGGTCTTAGTTATTTTATTGTAGATATAACCTCAATGAAACAAAAGAATCGGTTGGTGTAGCGGGTGTGGAAGTTGTGTTTAGTAGCATGGGCAGGATTGTAGCGTCTTTTTCTCTGGTGAGAAGATGGGTTATAAATCAGAAGCCTGTGCTGTTTAAGGACTGTGAAAAGAATAAACAATTGTCGTCCAGTTAGAACTTTGGTCTCCTTATAAAGTTCCTCATATGGGTAGCGGAAAGGTAGGTAGACTGGTAGTATGAGACTTTTAAGATTGGTCTCTGAGCACGTTCTAACCGTAACATAATGGTTTTGTGTGTACCGTCCCATGTTGTAATACAGTATGTAAGCAGGGATTTGCAAAGAGTATAATAGACCATTCTCCTCAGGCCTTCATCCGCCACGTCTCTTAGGTTCTTAAATATGTATGATAGCTTTCGAATTCGTGAAGTAAGGGCTTCGATGTGTGGATGAAAGCTTAGGAGAGGGTCCAGAATAACTTCGAGATATTTGGTTGTTGAGGTTCTCTCTAAAGGTTTGCATGTGCAGCCTAAATTATATGGGTTAAGGCACGTGTGCGCAGTGATAAACAGTCATTGATCACGTCAACTGGATCTGGTGAAGGTGCTAGGGAAAGGAGATTAGTAGCATCGGTTCTGTCGTTATTTAATTGTTTGCCATAGCGTTTTGGTGTTTTTTCTAGAATTTAGTCGTTCGTTTTTCTTGTATTCTTTCCTTAATTGTTTCAGGATTCTTTAGTTTTTTGTGCATGCTGTCTCTATGTTTTAAGCAGCGAAGAAGACAAGGCGTTACCCACGGCTTTATTAGTTTTTGCGATTGGTTAGTTTGGTATTAGTCTCTTTATCAATTTAATGGAGCTAACGAGAAATTCTGTAGCAATATTGGGGTCTTGTATATTGTATTTTGCAGTAAGGTCTACTTTGGACAAGTCAGTCAATATTTATTCGTCAGGAGTAGAATATAATAGAATGGTATAGAAAGTTTTAGGTATGAGAGTTGAAGGGTACAAGAGAAGAGGCAGACCGAAGAAGAGGTGGATGGACTGCGTCAGGGAGGATATGGCTAGGAAGGGAGTAAACAGTGAGATGACGCATGACAGAGTAGAATGGAAAAATCATACATACTGCGCCGACCCCAAATAAAATTGGGAAAAGGGTAGGCAGATGATGGTATAGAATAATCTTTATTGTACACGAATTCAGGATATTATACATACAATTGTATTCCAAGTTAATGACCATGTATTAATGGCGGCCTTATCGCTAAAAAGCAATCTCTTACAGGCAACCTTTGGATGGACAAATAGACTGTAAATAGGTAATTTCAGTAGGTGAAGGAGAAGGTGTTGAGAAGGAATAATTACATTATGAGATCATAATAAGCATAGCAAATTAAATAAACAAAAGTGATACGTGCATATAATATTAGGATAAATAGTAATATTAATTCGTTTCTTAGTTTTTTTAGGTCGCCTTCGAAGTTTACTCGAATTGGGCGGTCGCCTTTTTTTTGCGGAGATAAACGATGCCGTGTGATGTCCAGTAGACATCATGCGCGTAATTCTTCCGAAAACCTCTGACGAGGGCGTATAATTTCGAAGTATTATTAGTCTGGCATATTTGGCCATTATATGGCATAGCGATTCTGAAATGTAAATAGGCTTGGCTGGTTGTTGTTATCCAATGAGTTCAATTTCTCGATTTTTTTTTCTTATTTTTATTAAAGCCCTTGACTTCCTCAATGAAGTTGTTTTTATAAGCTACTGTCTAAAATTCAATAACTATCGGGTTAGAGTTATCTTTAGAGTTGATTCTATATACGTCCTTAATGCTTGAGCTATCAACATTGACGTCTACAGTTTTTCCTACATTCACTACCAAACTGTTTAGGTTTTCTTCGTTTTAGCTATATTTCTAATTTCTATGCCCCACGCCCGTGATTTTCGTTCTAAGTTATCCAGGCTGTCTTGGAGCAGTTGAATGCGTTCTTTGTCATCTCTCCTTTCAGTTTCTAGGTTGGATATACGCCTTAAGAGCTCGTCGTGTTTGCTAGACATGAGTGTATGTGTTCTCCCGACTTTGAAATATGATTTCTTTATGTAGGTGGGCTATTATTTTATTTTGGGGCCCAGAATGAATAAATATGACAACAAAATATAATTTGAAGTATGTTATTTTTTGTTACTTTTTTATACTGATATAACATAATTATTGTTTTAAGTATATATTACAGCAATTTGCAGCGATGTTTATTATTTATTATATACTAGGAGGGGTACAGAAAAACAATAACTGTGTTATTTTCATGAAAAATCAAGTTTTATTGTTAGGAACATTTACCTCAACTTGGAAACCTATCACATATGAACTTAAGATAGGATTACGATAATTTTATAAATTAAATCACAAATTATCTCAGTCAGATATCTCTTTATATGGTTAAGTTTACCACTTTGTTACCTAATTTTGATTTAAGCAATTGTAATTTTAAAAAATATTAAAAAATAATAGCAATTTGATATCACTATTTAAAGAGACAATTAAAATGTTTCAAATAAACAATAAACTTTTAAAATTAGGATATCTGAAAAAGTAGTTTTAGTTTTATACCTTCAAACGTTTTCAGAAAAAGAGGGACAAAAAAGCAACGCAGTGGTTCGATACGTTACATAGTGGTAAACTTTTCACGTCCCACGTGTTTTCTTCACCTTAAACTAATAGAAACTTAATGCAAACAAAAATAAAGCATTTCAAAATAACAAAACTTTTCTTTAAACAAAAAAAAATGAAACTTTTCAAATTAACAATTTATAAACATAAAAAAAAACCTTTGTCTTTTCAGTCAGGCACATCAAATTCGTAATATACACGTCTAACTTTCTTAATTTTTTTAGGATTGGGTACTATTTCTGAAATATTTTCATATGGTTCGTATGAAACATCATTTTCTACTAGTTTTGAACCTCTTCTCCCTCTTCCCCGAATCGTCAACTGATTTTAAAAACATAATCTTGATCTCTCCTTCGTCGTCAACATCACTTTGGGCGACACCTAGATAACAGTATGTTTTATCCTTGTCAGTGGAAACTTTGACTGTAACGTAAACACCCATTGATACTTTTGATGGATGTAAATTTTCCTTTTCAATTAATTTCCGTTCATCTATATTAGAAACTGAAGCTTCTTGTTCCTTTTTAAGTTGAATCTTTGAAAGAGGCTTATCATCTGAGCTCGAAGTCGAAGAATAAACCATTTCGTAATAAGACCTCTTGGGATTGGTCACAAGATTAGTTACGAGTATATCAGTTAATACTTCTTTAAAGACAGGAATTGGCTGATTGGTTTCAGGTGTTAAGCAGCCGCAAAAACCCCTTTCAAAAAAGCAACTAAGATCGCGGTAGTGCAATTCTCC